AAGCATCTCAACAAATGGCAACGATTGAAATCATTAAGGGTATGAACAGGTGAGTTTTCCATATTTGTTTCAGCTGCTAGAAAGTTGTGGAGTCAAATGTGTATGTGCACATCTCCTCCCCTCTCTGCCGCTACTTTCTATACTTAGGCCTCGGTTCTGGCTCTAGTTTAGATCACCATTTATTTGTTTATTTTTACTTTTGTCACCCTCTCTTGGTTTTTTAAACCTACTTCTAATTAAATTATCTTTGGGTGCATATTTTTCTCTGTAAGCCCATTTAAATACTCTTTGCAGCAAGATACATAAGCAACGTAGTAAATGGAAAGAACGATTTTAAATGCACATATTGGGTTATCTATTGCATGCGTGTAGAATCACACGTGTAGTACAGCGTAGTCACAAGATATACATTTGCACATTTTGAAATGCAGTAACTACCCCTAGAATGCTATTTTAGGTTTCCTTAGGAAACAGCACCGTGGGGAGTAACTCACCTACCCCAGTAGTGTGGTCTCCCTTTGGTCCTGTGTACGAGGTGGGCGTTTCTCCCCTCCTCCTGTGCCAGCTGCTCCGGTTTCTTCTCTCCTGAGTAAATGCACATTCATCTTGATCGAAAGTACACTCTCCAGGGGTAGGTGGGAGTTTTTCTGCAAGGAAATAGCAGGTGTTGTCAGGCACTGCCAATGAATATGTATTCCACGGCTCGCTGACAGCCCACTCCGCATGTATAAGTGTTGTCTGGCCATGTGCCACGCATACATGGAGAGGCAGCCCACCAATACCAAGCTCTTTGCCTCCAGTTAGAGTCTGGACTCCACCATGGGTCCTGCCGTAGAAGCAGAGAACAATCAGGAATCTAGACCCAAAAGCATTGGAATACTTTAAGAAGGAAACTATCTCTGACTTGTGAATTTATTTGTGTGAATGAGCTCACAAAGCTCTGAAAATGGGCAGTATACTGCCTTTATGGAAATATGGAAAATAATAAAATGCATAATGCAAGAGCTCCCCTCAGGAACTCAGAATGAATGAAGGCAGTCCTCACAACAAGTCCTTTGCAGAAAGGGAAGAATGAGAGAGAAATGAATGGGCACCTGGAGATTTAGCTTAATTTGTGTGGCGCAGATTACTCAATGTTTCTGTGCATCGGCGTTTTTATCTGTAATGTGGGGGTACTAATGGTATCCATCTCATGGGGTTGTGAGGATTAAATGAGATGATGAGTGTAAAGTATTTAGAACATGAAGTTCTCAATAAATATCAGCTAACATTTAATGTTTAATAAATATTAAAACTTGGTGTTTTGCTACCTGGGGCCATATATTCCATTTCCAGAAAGACATTTTACGTCTTTGGATGCACTCTTCAATAACCTTAATAATTATTATTACTAGAATGGTGCCACCTCCCAACTTACTGGGGAGTTCTCCTTTAGCTGAAATTGGTGGCACCTCCTATTATAATACACCCAGATTCTTAGAAAATATCTCTAGTAAGTAGGCTGTATTTTATATCTCTTGCATGATAATTATTTCCCTTCATTTCGTTTTACATACAGTACAAGCTAATGAAGCCTCATTCCCTTCTCTACACCTTAAGTGTAGAGATTTTTATCTTGTTCTTCTTTGTTTCATTGTTGCAGTGCCTTGCAAATGAAGGGACTAAAACCAAGTTGTCTTTTAATTAAATAAGCGTAGAAATTATTCTCCAGTGTCAGATTGCTAGCACAATTTGCCTGTTTGTTAAAGAAATCAGATATTCCATGATTTAAGATGCAGTGGTAATTAGAAGATACAGACCAACGATCTGGATTGAGGTATTCACCATTTTCTCATTACATATAATGTCCAACACATAGCCATCATCTTTACTTTGTCACTATCATCAAGGCTTGGTCCATTGTTCCACTGTCATTTAATTTATTTAGAAAATATTTATTTTATTATCATTTTAAAGTTGTATGTTTAGTCAAGTATCTGTATAATAACAATTTCATCAATATTGCTTAAAAATCTGTAATGTGTTAAGACAAAATAAAAATAGCAATAGTAATTATAATAAAAGGTATTTGGGTTTTTGTTTTGTTTTATTTTGTTTTTTAAATTGGGGAACAGCCATGGTCATTGGTTACACATTGCTTTCATACTACAATGGCATAGTTGACTCTTTTAGGGAGGGCGCAGCTCACAATGGCCCATGCGGGGATCGAATTGGCAACCTTGGTGTTATCAGCACCACGCTCTAACCAACTGAGCTAACCGGTCACCCTGGAGGTATTTGTTTTTAAAGTACTGTTTTGTTCCAGGTCATTTATATGTATTACCCCCAATATTCAGGTAGGTGTTACTACCTCTCTTACAGATGAGGATACAGGGGTTAAGTTATATGTACCAAGTCACACATTGCATTTAAGTCTTCACTTTTAAATTCCAAAACCTACTACACAGCTCTGTAGAAAGGCACTTCTGTCAAGAAAAGCAAATTAAATGTATGTAGTATGTTCTTAAAGAAACAGGAAATGTCATGTATAGAACAGGGAGACAGAGAGATGAAATGATGGCCATCTTACTTGGAAACCAGCAGCTTCCCAATTCAATTGTAATGTCATCCAGGGCTACAAGTCCACAGTCCCAAAAACTTTTGCACAGGCTCATGAAAACCACCTGCAATTCAGAAAAATAAAAACACGAGTTCTGTTTGCTGAAAAATGGGATGCTATTACAACCTGGGATTTACTTGGCACTAAAGTATGCATAAACAAATGACGGACACCTCTTCATGTTCATATGAACAACAAATCACAGTGGCATGACTAGTAGTTAACCATTTATATATGACCTTGGAATTCTTTTATTTTTCAAAGCAGAGTCAAGCTCAGAATGGTTTATTGTGTATATTAATGCCTAAATTAGTTTGCATTCTTTAAAGAATTGAGAGAGGAAAGCAAGAGGTTAACTGGATGGCAAAGAAAAAACCCATCAGGTTTTAAGTATTTTCCCCAGAAAATCCATAAAGTGCATACAGAGTTGATGGTATTCCAAGCACTTAACAAACATTTCCAGTACAAACACTACTGATTTTTTGGAAATGACTTTCTGGCACTGTGCTTTGTTCATATTGTGAACAAAGTCCCAGCTGGGGACTTACGTCCCATTTCCAAAAAAAAAAAAACACAAGAAAAAGATCTATATCCCTAGGATGGTAAGGCTAATAAAAGCCCTAAACACAATTATTCTATCAGACCAAATATTAGCTGTTGTATGTGAAGGAAAAACAAATCCATACCATAAATTATTAAATTCATTGTGCATGAGAGAGAGAGAGAGAGAGAGAGAGAGAGAGAGAGAGAAGTCTTGCATTTCTTTCCACTAGGCCAATTTTCGAGTCTACCTTTCATATATAGGATGAGCAAAGAGCACTTTTCAAAACATTTATATTAGATCTTGACTGTACTTTGTGGTTTACAAAGTTGCTTCACATGTATAACCTAATGCTTAATTAGCACAAGGTAATTTAGTCCATGTTCAATCTCTCAAATACAAATCATAACTCAAAGATAAAGGGAGATTAAAACCCAAATTATAAATAATGAAAACATTTGTTTTTTAAGTTCTAATATTCAGTATGTTATGTCTTCAATTTATCTGTGTTATTAGTAGGAGCCCTTTGTTCTTTGATGATTGGAGCCATCAGAATATAGAATTTATTTAAAAAGAAAATTTTTTTAAAATCACGTGACAGTTTACCCAGTATACAAAATATAAAACGTCTTAAGCCAAGATCTGTGAAAGTTAACTTGGACTGTTTTCATATTGCTTTAAGTTATAAAAAAGGTAGTTTGGAGATGTCACAACATATAACTATATAAATTAAAACAAAATAATTTTTTTTAACCTCTGTTAATTTTCTCATCTTTTGAGAGTCTAGGAATTATCTGAACATGTAAAATATTTTACTTGCAGGATTTATGCCTGGGAACTTATTTCTCATTGGAAAGAAAAGCTCTGTGGCATCAGCCCTGAATGCAGTTATATTTTATCAGCAATTTTTATTGTTGTATAGGAAGGAATAGTAATTGTCTCATAATTTATTGAATTAATTGTGCTGCAGAGAGAAAAATGTTGGCTTTCTATCATTTTGGCAGCTTTAAAGTCTATTTTTCACAATACTAGTGAAAAGTACTTTTTCAAAATGAATCTGTGGTAGTGAAATGATTTACCATATAAATTATGACCTGAATAAGACTCAGACATTTGGCATGTAAATGTATTCTAAATAGAAGAAATATTTACATGCTTCCATACATTTACTACAGCATTATTTTGTAATGACCATAAAACTAAACAAACGAAACAACCCCAATTTACAAAAATAGAGGAAATATAATAAATAAACTGTGGTACCACAATCTAAGAAATAAGCAATCATTAGCTCTGATAGCTTGTAAATATTATTTAGTAGTACAGAAATATATTCCTCTCATAATGTTAAGTGAAAAAAAGCTTGTTATAATAATAAGATAAAATTATATCTAACAAGCCTTGAAAATTCACCAAATTTATAACAATTATGTTAGGCTCATGAAATCAGGAGTATTAAACAGAATCTCCCCTTATTTTATGGACAGTCTATAATTTTGTTATATTTATAATTTTTAAAAAAGCAAAAAAGGAATCATGATATCTATAATTAATATATATAATAACGAGTTCATGTTTCCTAGATTGGCATTGTTTATTATGCTAGCCATCAGGACATGTGGCTATTTAAGTTAAAATTAAGAATTCATTTCTTCAGTCACACTAGTCATATTTCAAGTGCTCAATAGCCACATAGAGTTAGTGGCCAAGTGAACTGGACACAACCGATGTATAGCATTTCCTCACTGCATAACGTCCCATTGGATAGAACTCTCTGGGTCCTTTTGGACATTCCAAACAATCTGTGAACTGCCACAACGGGTAAAGTGAAAATGCTAAAAATGTTCTGGATAACTATAGGCCACTAGGTTGTTTCTATCTGAGAACTCTGTCCACACGTAGAATACTAGCCAGACCACATGATGTTCTGTCTGATAAAAGATCCACAAAGTCAGTCAGCTATGGACTGACTATATTTGAACCATGGCCTCAAACCTCAAATCTGTTTGGCAGTTGTCTATTAGCATTCCAACACAAAGAAACACGACAAGATCAGCTATTTGGTCTAACACATTGGATTTTCCACCCTGCTATTAACGCTGATAATGTCAGCTCCTACTCTTGGGCAGCCATCTTACATTGTGAGGGCTACTTGAGGTGGAGAGGTTATTTTAGGGTAGCTGGTGATGGGGCCTGATTGAAACAAGACAAAGAAAAAGGCAATCATCTTGGTCTGTCCTTATGAACTCTGTCCCTGGGTCCAGTTAAGAATGTGACAAGCTGGAATTGGTCATAGTCTAAATTCTTGAGGGATTATCCTTTTGTTTATTTATAGATCTTTTTAAAAAAAGAATGTTTATTTCATTTTAGGCAGTATCTCAAAGCAAGTGGGATATCTCTAAAGACTGGAGGAGGGGGGATCATAGGCAACTTGAATGTATAATATCTATTTGATAGGGAAGAAGAAGAGGCATAAAGTAAAATGATAACCCCTAAATAGGTATTCTTGATTTTATGCAAATCTCTTAAAAGTTAAAGACAAATTAGATTTGCATAAATCAATTTGTTTCTGTGTACTAAAGGTTCCAGTTTTTAGGTACTTGTGATACTGTAACATTTTTGTTTTGATATTTCATGTTTTGATATTTGATATTCATTTTCTCAACAATATTCATTATTGAGGAAACTTACCTAGATTAACTTTGGAAATACAGATAGGCAGTGAATGGAGAACCATGTAAATAAATAATTTGCAAACAAATAATTTTAAATATAGTCAAGTAAGGATCAATAATATTCCTTAACTTTTATCATCCTAAAAGTAGAAATTGTACATGCTTATTTACCTATAGCAAAGTATTCCAATCTCATCATTATTGACATTTTGGGCCAGATAATTCTTTGTTGTGCATTGTAGAATGTTAAGCAGCAACCCTGGTTTCTGCCCACTAGATACCAACATCACCCTCCAAGTCATGACAATCAAAAATGTCTCCTTCAGACATTGCCAAATGTCCCGGACTCAGGGAGTGAAGCAAAATCTCCTCTGGCTGAGAATCACTGATCAAGAATGGTAGAAAAACTGCTATTCGGATTACAAAGCCCCACTTACTAAATTCCTATTCCATGTTGTCTCTGTGCTGGGCACTCTCAGATCTGTTACCTCATTTTTGGATTCACTGTCAATTTCAACATATTTAGTCTTCCTAGTCAGAGCAGGACAGTTGTTTCCGTTTTAAAAGTGGACTAGAGCTGAGTTTTCTCTCCCTCTGCACATCACTGGGTGGTGGTTCTTCTGTAATAAACAACGAAATACCCTACAGCCCTGAAAACAAAAGACAAAGGAGCCAAAAAGCACAGGAGATGCACTACCACTTGAACTGAATAAATATCCCAGAGATCATCAGCGTTACTGCTCCAATTTCCTGCCTCACAAGACTGCATTGTTGAAGGGCAATAGAATCTCTGCTTTGTTTTCATCTTTCTCCATTAAAAAACCCAAAAAAACAAAAAAAAAAAGATTTACTCCCTCAAAACAATATACTGTCAAGCAGGAGATCCTAAAAGGTAACCGAGCAAACTTTTCTCAGAGTATATCATTTTAACTCTCTTCTAAAGGTTTTGTGGCAACAGGGGAAACAGTGGGGTTGCGAGAGGGCCTGCCTAGAAACCCAACCACGGTGTTAGTCAGAGGGGCTAGACTGCTAGACTGCCCTTTAGACCTGTAAAAGTCCATAAAAGTTCCCAGTTAAAGTACCTAGGAAAGAAAAAGTAGAAAAACAGGCATGTCAGGAAGTTATTTCCCCAAGTCAAGTCAGATTTTTTTTTTTTTCTCAATTAGGATTACTGATTTTAACTTTCTGAAGTCTTAGTTTAAGGGCTTCCCACCGCAATGAATAGGATTTTGCTGAGGGAGACAGGGAATCAAGCCTTGTAGGGAGCTGTGGAATATACAACCACAAGCCTTTGTTGTGCAGTTAAAAAGGATTGTCTGTATTAAAGAACTAAACAAAATCTATTTTAACTGGTTTTTCACTGTCTTTTATTTTTCTTTCATGGTCTTTTTTTTTTTAAAGATTTTATTGGGGAATTGGAGGGGAACAGCGTTGGGGAATCAGCGAAGGAGAACAGACAGGTAGACAAATTGCTGTTTTGTTCTTCAGTCTAGTTGTGGAGGACATCGCTTCACTGGCCCATGTTGGTATGATCATTGTGCTCTTCC